TCATGTGGGCTTCAGTCCTCAACCCGTGGGGCCTGTGCGGACTCCAGGGAGACAGTGTCAGAGCTGAGTTGAATTGGAGGACACCTGCAGGTGTCGGAGACTTGGTCAGTGCAGAAACTGGCCCATCGGTCGGGTTGCAGCGAGCTCTGTGTGAGACCTGTGTCTCCCAGGGGTTTGGGGGGGCGGGGAGAGTGGAGGGGGGAGAAGCCGGCAGTGTTCTTCTAGGCCAGGTGTTCTCAACCTGTGGGTCGTGACCCCTTTGGGGGTCGAACGACCCTTTCACAGGGGTCGCCTAAGACCATCGGAAAACACATATAATTACATAGTATTTTTGTGATTAATCACTATGCTTTAATTATGTTCAATTTGTCACAATGAAAATACATCCTGCATATCAGATGTTTACATTACGATTCATAACAGTAGCAACATTACAGTTATGAAGTAGCAACGAAAATAATTTTATGGTTGGGGGTCACCACAACATGAGGAACTGTATGAAAGGGTCGCGGCATTAGGAAGGTTGAGAACCACTGGTCTAGGCGGTTCCCAAGCCCAGTACCAGCTTCCTCAGAAGCTCATATTATGCCTTTCCTTTGGCTTGTTTTCTATATTTTTATTTAAATGTGTTTCTTTGACATTTGACATAAACTTTGAACGGTGATTTGTGAGATAAGCAAGTGAAATATTATAAAAGTATAAGTTCCCCACTTCACCTCCCTCAGTCACCCCTTTTTTTGGTGTATCTTTTCAGCCATATGTTATGTACATATATGGTGGTGTGGGCCTTGAAAAATACAGTGGAAGCATTCTATACATGCTATTTGTTGTTGGTGGGTTTTTTTTTTTGATTGTTCATTATTGGTGTATTTAAAGTCCCCATTTTTTAAACTGTTTAGTAGTATTTCATTGCTCCCCTTTAAGTAGATTTCTCTATTTAAATATAGAGTGTGCTCTGTGTATGACACTTTAGCCACCATATTCTCCACGTGAGCACAGGACAACTTCTACAGCGCAGAGGCAAAGGTAGTCATAGACTAGGACCAGTCCCTCCATTTGAAATGTCTCCAGCACCCTCCCTTTGCCACGTGTGATTTCTCTTACTGACCTTATCCCCGCATTCTGCCCTCCCTGAATGGGCTCTGCTGGGGATCAGACACCAGTTCCGAAGACCTCACACTCGCATCCGGGTTCCCATCACCATCCTGAGCTTCTTGGGTGTGGGGCTTTGTTGGGCTCATTTCTGCATCTTCGGTGACACCAAATGTTTGTTGAATGTGTGGACAAGAGTATAGACCTAGTGCCCAAACCAACATCATACAAGGCTCCAGCAGGCAGGAGAAACATAGTAGGGCCTCTTGGAGGAGGTGGTCTTGGCAACGTAGACAAGGTTCTTAGACTGGAAAATCTGAGATGACCATTTGGAGACAAAGGGAGGCCGTGAGTGAAGATGCCGGGACTGGCCTTCCTAGAGCATATTAGGGTCGGAGGAGGCCGCTGTAAGCTGAGCTGGGTGCAGAGCTCGGAGAGCCAGGCCCAGCCTGATTACAGAGGACCCTGAATGCCAAGAATAGTGTGGATCTCATCAGATGAGTAACGGGGAGCCCATGAAGTTTCCTGAGTGGGGAAATGGCCTGCTGCTTAGCAATACTCTTCTAGAGAGTATAGCGTTTCTACAGCGTGCCCAGAGGGGCAGGTGGGCTGAGGAAACATGGCAGCATGGAGGGCCATGAGTGTGGGAGATGAGCATTCCGATAGCTGGGACTCACTCAGCACACATGTGTATCAGACATGGTGCTAGGCGTGTCCGTTCAGTTAGTCCCCAACACAGCCCGATGAGGTGTACGCGGTCATTGCACTCATTTTGCAGAGCGGGATTGGAAGGTCAGACAGGGGACACATGCACGTGCTGTATAGCAGATGCCCTGGTGCCGCCTGAGGCGTGGAGAGCAGCCCAGGCCTGTGGCAGAACTTAGGACAACTCATTCTCTCATCTTCATGCTGAGAACTGCTCCCCGTCAGACACGTGGAGTATTGGATGCAGACCAGCAAACAGAGCTGCTTCTTTTAAAAATTTTCACTCAGCAAATAATTATCACCTGCTTGTTATGTAACTCTAGACCAGCGGTTCTCAACCTTGGTTGCACATTAGAATCACCTGGGAATCTTTTTTTAAAATCCTGATTTCTGGGCCTCATCTTCCGGAAATTCTGTTTCTTTGTCACTAATGTTGTGGCCCCACCCCGTAACAAAGAAACAGAATTTCTGGAGGATGAGGTCCAGAAATCAGGATTTTAAAAAGATTCCCAGATGATTCTAATGTGCAGCCAAGGTTGAGAACCACTGCCCTAGAAACAGGGGAAAAAGTTATTCCAAAAATGGAATAGAAGACAACTTTCCTAAAACTAAGTACAAACATGAAATTGCAGATAAAAAGACATTGGTTATCCTTGGAAGTAAAAAACTGATGTAGAATAGTTGACATGAAGACAAGTCTAGGCTAAATTACAGAATAGCAAAAAATTCAATGGTGATAAAATGGAAATCTTACACAAGGGGGAAATAGGCAAGTCATTTTTGTGCTGCATTTAGGATTCGGGAAACGGCCAGAATCCCCTTTGTGTTAATGGTACGGGTGCACGAACACTCCATTTCAGAACAGATTGAATTTCACACCGTCTTTAAATATGTATCATAGAATGGCTGAGTCATTTCTATCAATGGACACAATTTGAAAGTCATTCATATTGACAGGAACCTTTGTTGTGTTTTGAGTGACGTGGTTATCTGGACAACGTTGCAGAAGCATGTGGCGCAGTGAAACGGGGCCTTCGTTCCCTAGCGCTTTAGTAAAAACACCCCGTTTAGCCCAGTAAGGAAGCCTGCATCTCTGTGAGGACAGTGACTACCGTGGTTTCAGACTGCAGCTGCCCCTTAGCAGGTTATGAAGTCAGGGAAGGGCGTTGCAACCAATATTCATTATAGAACGAAATAAAAGAAGTTAGAATAGGATAGAATATTAGGACCCTTGTAGTAAGGTTAAGTCTTGTTTGGAGTATGTGTGGCATGTGGAGTATTTGTGTGGGGTGTGTGTGTGTAATATAACTTGCTTTTGAAACTTTTTTCTTAATGCCCATGTTCTCTGGAAAGCTATGATTAGAAGCAAACAAACAACCTTTTTTAAAAAAATATATATATTTTATTGATTTTTTACAGAGAGGAAGGGAGAGGGATAGAAAGTTAGAAACATCGATGAGAGAGATATCAGTTGCCTCCTGCATACCCCCTACTGGGGATGTGCCTGCAACCAAGGTACATGCCCTTGACCAGAATCGAACCTGGGACCCTTCATTCCTTAGGCCGATGCTCTATCCACTGAGCCAAACCGGCTAGGGCACAAACAAACAACCTTTGTGCCGATGTGGAAAACACTCAGAAAGTAGCCCAAACCCCACGTACACAGGTGAGGGCACGGGCTTGACCTACAAGGGTAGCCGCTGTCCTGACTCCTCGCAGCATTCCTTAGCCACACCTGCTCTTGAACTGTGTGCGAGGAGTTAGGCAGCCGTTGGTCAAACTACGGCCCGTTTGAAATGAATAAAACTAAAAAAAAAAAAAAGACCGTACCCTTTTATGTAGTGATGTTTACTTTGAATTTATATTAGTTCACACAAACACTCCATCCATGCTTTTCTTCCGGTCCTCCGGTCCAGTTTAAGAACCCATTGTGGCCCTCGAGTCAAAAAGTTTGCCCACCCCTGAGTTAGGGCCTGTTAGGCAGCACTGTACATCCCTTTTGTGTCTCAACACAGCGGGAGATTCATCCGGCGGCTGCGTGTGCTTGTGCATTGTTCATCCTCCTTGCTGTCCCGTAGTGGTTCCCAAAGTGGGGTCCCCTGACCAGCAGCAGCATCTGGCAACTTGCCAGAAGTGCAAACAGAGCCTTTGGGGATGGACCCAGCGTGCTGAGTGACCTGAAGCCTTCAGG